TTTTGAGCCCACTTTATCATACAATCTTTAACTAATTCTGTTTCCGAATCCATCTGTATTTATACATACTGTAAACCTCTTATAAACCTATTTAGCTTATAAAATTTAGAATATTTTATTTTCCAAAACAGGAATGTAGCTGTCAGGTTAAATTAACTAATACATGTAATATTGCTCATTAAGATATTTTCCCTAGTTGCAATGTATTGATAATAGTACAAAAGAGGCCATTAGTATTTAGGATGATATTTATATATACAGTATTACCAAGCAATTGATCATGGAATTTATGAAATCCAACTGCCATTGAAAAGAACCAGCGTAGAAAAGTGTATTTAGCTATCAGCTTTCCAGTAAGCTGTAGAGATCTCTTACAGTTAACCTTGTTAAAAATATTTCTATGATGTCATAGAGGGCCAATGCTCATAAGCTGCTGTTATATGATTATCATGGTATGCTATGAGGTTCATTATGAGGTTCAAGCAACCTCCCAAATAAATAGTCTCAGTTGCATATTTTTTTTAATAAGCGATAGCTCATGCACAACATGCCTAAAGTTTAAGTTTAAACTCTGTATTTTCCTATCATATTAATCTGATAAGCATCTTATTCCTCTACTATTTTTTATATCAGAAAAGTTTATTTGCTTCTTAAAAATATCATTGACATTATAAAATCTAATCAAACTCATAATTATATGCAAGACAGATCCACTAAGTTTAATGGAACTAAAGGAGTATAATCTATTTAATTATGTAAACATACACAATGTTTATTTCTATTTATGTTTAAAAATTTTTAATGTTTAATTGTTTTTCTGTATGGTGCTCAGAATCACACTGTGAGGTTTATTTTTATTTTTCTGATTCCTTTTGGAGAAGAAAATCTAAACAAAATAGGGGAAATTGATATTTTGAATATCTAAACAGAGTCAGTTTGGTATAGTGGTTAATTCATCAGGGTAGAAATTAGGAGACCATGAGTTTTAGTTCTGCATTAGGCCCTAAGCCAACAGAATGACCTTTATCTTAGCTTTAGGAAGGAAGCAGTAGCAAACCACTTGGAAAAATCTTGCCAAGAAAACTGCAGGGACTGGATCCAAGCAGTGTCCAAGAATCGGACAAAATTGAACAGAAAAAAAAGAGCTAGACGCACTAGGTATTAATTATTTTCTTCACCCCAGCCGCTTATAGCAAATGCAAATTGGTTACTAGTTTCAGTGACGTCCCAAAAATGCTTTTTTCCAAAAGGCAACTGGTCTTTGTTTTTTCCTTGAAGTCGTTTTGCTTCTCATCCAAGAAGCTTTTTCAGCTTGAGCTTAGGCTGAAGAACCGTCTTGGATGAGAAGCGAAAAATCTTCAAGAGAAAAAAAAACGAAGTACAGTTGCCTTTTGGAAAAAAGCACTTTTGGGACAACCACACTTGGATGACTAAGAATCTTCATAGACATTTAGTTTCAGTGATAATTACCTGACCCATACTACCAGCATTATTCAACTCTCTTTGCTACAGTAGCAGTTCAGCAGGATATTTGGCACAGATATTTCACATCAAATTCTGGCAGGGATTGCGTATAGAACTTTCTACAAGATACATACTTTGCTGCTGAATTGCAAGCCACTCTGTAGAATGTGTGCAAGGAGACTGCAGGAATAAGGTGCAGAACCCTGTGACTCTCGGAGTTGTATTGCATTGGAACTTTATTGCTTCCAGTCGTTATATCCTATTTCAATTTTGTAGTCCAAAAAATTAGTTGACTGAAGATTCTTTATATCAACAATGATTAAAAAGGTTTCTGAACATATTGCAGAAAATACACATGTTGGATACAGCTTTGCAATGAAGTAAGCCTATATGATGGTTATATACAGTACTGCATTGCTCAAGAAGTTCTTATTGATCTTCTTTCCTGTTTTAAAAATTGTAACCAGGCTATGTTTATATCCTTAAGAACACACTGTAGTAAGAGTGCATTTTAAATCCCTGATCATAATTTTTAAAAGTGGAGCTTTTTCAATTCAGTTTCTTTTATAGGGTAATAGAAATATTAAATTACCTTCATTTGAATAAATTCTCAGGTTTGCTACACTGGAATATTTTTTGCACAGACCATTGATAAGAAATGTCTTGTATTTTATAGACTATGGCTTAAGCTTGCCTCTGGGGGAGGATTATGAACATAAAAAACACAAACTAAAGGAGGAACTTCGACAGGACTACAGGCAATACCTTTCACAAGTAAGGAACTATCATTAAAACTTAAGTGCTGGTTTGTGAAGCAAAAATACATTAAAACTAAGTTTCCTAAGAACTGAAGACATTAATTTCTAGAATGTGTTGCTATGCAGCATCAGGACATTAGGTAGGTGCCATATAAAATATCTGTGATAATAAATTATTGGAAATTGATTTTGGAAGCTGCTTTGAAAGGACTTTGATTGGAAGATCAAAGGGAGAAATTGTATTTTGAACAGGTGAATACTTAGTTTAATTTAATCAAAAACCAATCAATCACATTTTAGGCTAATGTGTACTGTAAGGCTATATTTTATATGAGTTTATGGTACATTGTACTGTAACCCCTAAACTTGGGTTTCTGTTAACTAAGACAATGGGAATTGTTAAAAGAGATGGATCACATTAGAAAAATAAACAATGGGAGGGAGCCACAGCCAAAACTACCTTTCTCATCTCCATGTTCTAAAACTTGATCGTTTTCTCCTTCAGAGAAATGCTGAGACACGGAGCCTTTAGCATTTTCTCCTCCAGAAAGGAGAAGAATACTAGTGAAAGGGGTGGACTGAAATGCCGAGTCTTTCAGAACATTGCAGAGCCTTTTAGCATTGAGGTCCATTCCTTCAAGTGTAGGATGTTTTCCCCTTCCAACAGAGAGACTAGAGCAGCGATGGTGAACCTTTTTTGGCTCGCGTGCCATAAGTGGAGGGAGCGCAGGGGGGTCGTGTGCTTTGTGCCGCACCCGTAATGCAATGTGCGACCCCCCCAGTGCGCATGCACGCACTACAAGCGCTCCCCCCATTTTTTGCATGCTTTTTTTCCCCTCCCAGGCTCCAGAGGCTTTATAGGAGCCTGGGGAGGGCGAAAACAGCCTCTCCCACCCCCTGGA